TATATATATAATCAGTATGAATTACGTTCACTTAATTTTCTATATCTGCATTGTTTTGGTTATAAAACCAAAGACTCTGCAGTTGATGCGTAATACCAATTTATTTTCATTCATTTCTCTCTGAACCAATTATTACTTTTCCTGCTTATTCATTATACTTCTCAAAGTACTATTATTATCCCCAAAGACCAATTTGATTTACAGCTGACAGTATTCCTTAAACCAAAGAATCATTGTTGCAAGTTTTGCAGCTCTTTTAGTCATATTCTACCAGACAGACTCAATTCAGTTCAATTCAATTCAATTTATTTATATAGTGCCAAGTTACAACATACGTTGTCTCATTATTGCCCAAAGGGCCTCAAATCTCTCCAGCTGTTATGTGCTTATAATAAAACTGAGTAGACTCATATACTGATTGCCACAGTAAAATTTCAAWATAAAACAGGTCTTTCTTCTCAGTTATCCATACGTTTTTGATTTTCTGATTTTTTTTTTAAACAAGACCATTTCTTTTCCTTATCTTTCTCATTTTCTTCTGGTGCTACTCCTCCTCTTCTTCTTTCATTCTCTTTGGCCTTGTCTTCTTGCTTCCTCTCCATCTATGCCCACAGTTTTGCATGWGCCAGCGTCACCCCACGCGTGCCGTCATTTCAGCTGTGATTGGAAGGGCAAACTCCTACACCTCCCACTTTGGATCAAAAATGATGACAAAGCGCCCTCAGTATAACCAACATGTATAAAACACCACTGCAAMATTCTTCTCTTTTATTTACCATTTAAAATAGGCGTGTGATGTCTGTTGCTGAGAAACAATAGTGACAATTTTTGTGCTCATAAATAGAATTATCAACACACAGTGGAACACAACAAAAGCTAAACATAGCAGGATTCATTTCTACAACCCTCAACCAATCCACAATCTKCCAGAGACAGAAAGTGTGAATTAAATAAATAAAGGTTTTAACGCTGTTATTTAAGATGCCCATGGGAAAACCTTTATGTTCAGGGTTGCACATAAAATTTTTGGTCTGGTTCTCAGGGGAGAACCTAGGGTTGTTGCTTGGTGCTCATATTTTCCTTCACACGTTTAACACATTTATCCAGAGCAGTGGTTCTTAACCTTTTTTGAGGTACAGAACCCACCAGTTTCGTGTGTGCATTCACTGAACCCTTTTTAGTGATAAAAAAATATGATTTTTTTTTTCCAAATTCAAGATGTAGATATGTATTTTTACTGGTGTGTAAAATGAGCCGTGCATGAACATCACCTTGCTTAAAGAACAAAACCAACACAGTGCATGAACTCAACAAATT